AAATATTTACATTTTGAAGCTGGTATAAATTAACAATTTTCTTTTTTTGCATATGCTAATCTATTATCAAAAAAGTTTTCGATTTCTTAAGCCAGCAGAGGTCAGCAAACACGATTTCCAGCTGCTAAAAGTTGCTCTTAAAAAAGTCAATTCTATGTCAGAAATCTTCTGATCTGAGATATCTGCTACCACCGAATACCATACTTAATACACAGTCTCAAGTTTTGCCATGAAGTTCTGCCAAGGAACATTTGATGGCTGAATCCAAAGCCACGGCTGAGGCTAATAGTGCCTGACCTCACAGTTGTCTTTCTTTATTTTCAAGACGAGGTCACCATTTGATTTCAGTGTAATGAAACCACCTCAAAGAAGATCACATGAGCTAGAGAGACATATACTGCCAGATTAACTCTGCTCATCTTGGGATCAGATTGATAATGCACGACATTGTATACGATATAAGAGGCTTTATAATGTACATGATTATCTTACTGTGAAATTGTGAAATCTGCTGTCGTGTGTGTGACATCACCTATTGTGCATGAATCTCCCCGACATCCAGTGCATCCAACAAGCACAGCCAAGGTGGAGATTGTCATTTAATGACAATAATGTTAAGGTTATTGAGAGTGCAGCAGTGCTGATATATGGGGCAGCTATGGCTCAGGAGGTAGAGCATGTCGTCCATTAATCAGAGGGTCTGTTCCCGACCAGTGAGACAATGAACTACGTATGGCGAGCAATGTATGAATGTGTGACTGAATGGGTGAATGTAATCTGTAATGTCAAGCCCTCAGAGTGGTCGTGGAGACTAGTAAAAGCTGCTGTAGAAATGCAGTCCATTTAGCAGCACATACTGATGCACAGTAGTAGTAGTAAATGTGAGTAATAGCAAGGTGGTTATAACTTCTGCACTTCTAGCTTACATTTTAGAAAAGTTTTGCTTGCCCTTCATTTCCAAAATCCTAGAAAAAGCTGTTGCTAACCAGCTGTGTGGTTACTTAGATAGTAACGGTTTATTGGAAAAATTTCAGTCAGGATTTAGAACCCATCACAGCACAGAAACAGCACTATTGAAAGTCACTAATGACCTTCTTATGGCATCAGATGATGGACTTGTCTCTGTCCTCGTCTTGTTGGACCTTAGTGCAGCCTTCGACACAATAGATCATAAGATTC